AAGTCATAGGGGAGAGGCAGTCCCTTAGGTAACCTGGTCCCATGCCATGTAGGGTTTTAAAGGTGATAACCAACACCTTGAATTGGACCCAGAAGCAGATAGGCAACCAATGCAGCTCACGGAGCAGAGGCGTTACATGGGCCCTCCTTGGGGCTCCAACAATAGCCCACGCGGCTGCATTCTGGACCAGCTTTAGCCTTATCACAAGTTGTTTGTGATAAGGTGAAGATTCAAATCCTCCTAATCAATGCAATGAAACTTCACTTGCAATTGATTTGATTTTGGCTTGTGAGCCCAGCCAACTGAGGTTTATTTGGAAAACCAGAGTTAAGCATACTAAATCATAGTGCAATACTTAAACCCAGTTGTTTTATGGTTCACAACTGTTAGAACACACTTTTTTGGTCATCCATTGACACCAATGACTCAATAAGCCAGAATCAGTGGGGAAACCCAAAACGACCTTTGGAATTATGTTTGCTGATTCATGAAAGCCACTTAAGTGAAATGTATTGATCCATCTCATTCCAAACATGGAGCTGTACTCCAAAAGTAGCATTTACTGGGGCAATTGACCATCTGTCCAAGTGGTTGAAATAATTTGATCTTTGCAGAATGGGGGATTATGAAATGAGATGGTTAGGAGTACAAATTGGTACATCACAATACTCCTCTTCACAAAGACAAAATGGGCCAGCTCTGCTAGTGACCAAGTTCACACTGATTCAGGCTTCAGGACAATATAGTGACTTCTTCCCCCAACGTTCAGACAGATCTAATCCCAAGGTTTCCTTACATTTTATGTAGTCATCCCACCAGTATTTTAAAAAGATTCTTAGCAGGGCTCTGCCCCTTCAATAGTTAAACACTGGGGATCTCTCACAACTCCCCTTCAAACCCCTACCATGATCTTAGCAAGTTCCACATGCATGTTCTGAGGACAACTGGATGTTAGGAGTAGCTGGTGGACAGGCAAAGGGCCAAGATGGCTTCTCCATTCCCAGTTCCTCCCTCTAAAAGTCACTTCCCGAGATACAGGCAGTCTCCAGGTTAACCCACAGTTAAGAACAGAGCCTTTTTTTCCCCTTCCTAGCCAACTGTAGCAAAATTCACGTTAAGTACACAATGGTTCAAGTTCATTGCACAATACTACTTACACAGTATTATACAATAATATTGTTCTGGCTTACTTACAGAGTTGACTTAAGGACAGACCTTGGGAACAGAACTTGTTCTTAAACTGGGGACTCCCTGCTGTAAAACTTTTAGAAGCCTATGAATCCAAGTTTCATTCACAAGGAACATGGTGCAATACAGCTCATAGCTCCTCTCATCAAGGCTTCAGCCCACTCCAAACCCATCAGCAAAGCTCTTACCATTTTTAAAGCTTCTGTGGTCTTTGCAGCAAGTCCCTTGCAAGCTAGAAGAAGAAGAGTGTGTCACATTCATCCAACGAAGATCAGCCACTGGAATTTTTCAGCAACTGAGAAGTAGCTGAAATTCTGGAAACATTGCAAAGTTTGGCCATTTGACACTCGGGCACCCTGAAAACTAGAAGAAGTAGGGCAAATCACCAATAACTGTCCTACCCTGAAAGGATCAACTGTCTTTCCTTCAAAATACTTCCCTTCAGTATTTGGTGGCAGTGAAATGTATACAAAACAATGGACCCAAAAGAGGAATTTCCAGCTTCCTTTTCCCCCTTGCCTTTACCCATTCCTCTTGATTCTTCTGCCTATTGCTTTCTCCTTCCTACACAGTTGGACAGCCTATCCCAAGGGCCACATAGAAAGGATGCAAGTTGTATGAATGCAATTACCTGTGTACGTATAAGGTAATCTGGGCAAGTGGCAGGGAGGGATAACTCATGCAGTGCTGATACAAGGTTTGTGCTGGTACAAAAACAGTGGCCAAGTATGTGATAGAACTCCTCTGCCTTTAAGTATTCCCCTGCCAATATTACCCCTACATTGATTACAGGATCGAACATTTGGATTATTCACACTGCAGTAATTTTAGACTCTGTGCTCAGCTGTGGAGCTCCAGCCTTGTGCAAGTCACCCTCAGTGGCCTTTTCCAGGGATGGGAAAAGTTTCTGCTACCTCTCATCAAAGTGAGAAACCAGGGCAGGAAACCTTTGGGTTCCAGCAAGGGCCCAGCCTCACATCTCTATTCCACATTCATACCCATGGAATAGTTTCAGAAAAGTATATGAAGGCTACAATGTTAAGGTCATCTCCTAGGCCTCCTTAAAGGGAACTATACCTCTAGAGCAGGTTTTAGAGAAGGATGCAAAGAGGGAGAAGCAACTACACTCAGAAACCTAAGACAGGATTCACATACTATGTTAAACTACTATTTGCTGAAATAGTTATGACAAGCAGGGCTTGCTCAACAGACCCTGGCTTACAAATCTTAATAGTTGAGTTTACAAACCATGCTAAGCTAAAAACTGGCTTAGCATGAGGCATGGACTCAAAGAAAGAGACTGACAGTCTTCTCAGCATAAAGAGAACCTTTGAGAGAAGCTATTGAAAACACACACACACCACAACAGCAACATCCTTTGGACACCAGCTTAAGGAATACAAACCTCCATCCCCTCATAAAAATACTCACCACCAAACAATCTTCCACAAGGCCAGTCCCAAGGAGAAAAAAAAAAAAGGGAACAAGCATCCTTGTTCCAGCTGGCCTTCATATCTCCCTGGCTCATTGTATCCACCAATCAAAGGCCAGTGAGGGCCACTGCTAACTGATTGCAGCTGAGGTGAGTGGGTTGTCTTTGAGTGGACATGAACGAAAGGGACAAGTATCCTAAAGGATGGGGGGAGGGCTAAAATGCAGAGACACTTGCTTCAGAAATAGCTGGCTTGCCCTATATTGACTCCACATCTGCTTGAAGATCAGATCAATAATAATCCTTTCATTATCCTTCTCAGAAGTTTCTAAGCTATTAAACAAGGTCATTCTTTCAAGCTTCCTTGCTAGGACCAGTGCAGCCAGGGAATGGTAGAACTCAGTTAATCCCTTCTAGCTGACATTCCCAACTTGGATTATAAATGCTTTCCTATAAACTGGGTTCTCTATGGCTGAGACTTTTTTAAGAATCATGATTTGCTGACTAACCCAGAATGCCTGGGATTGCACAGCATGCTAAGCCATAAATCATGACTGACCAGCCACAGTGGCTGAGTTCACATGCTAAACCAACATTAAATGAAATGCATTAATTGCACTGTGTAGTACAATCAGGGTGACTTGTGGTTTGCACTACACAATCGGTAACACAACCTTCAATGAGCACACTTGAATTGCCCAGAGATGCATGGTGAACTGAAGACATCTCTGTAAAAAGGGAGCTGACAACCTCAACAAAGACCAAAGTACCGGTGAGTAAACCAGTTCTTTGGAACCTCTCTGGACAAGGAGAGGATGAGAGATTGTCTACATGTGATCCAGATGGGTGCTTCTCACAAGGAGACTGAGCGCCAGGAGACAAAGGAATCAATCATCAAGCTCATAACCGCGGCAGAGCCTTTTAAAGGACATTAGGTTCACTAACCTAAACAACTTTTAGAAATTGCTTTATCTAACCATCTTAAAGCTATTAGAGATCTTCGGAACAATAAGTTTGAAAAGTCACTGGGTAAGTTTAG